GATTCAGTCTTTATGTTACAGGAGATTACCCGGGGCAATTGATGTGATTGGTCAGACTATAACTATCAGCAGAGTAGAAGGAAGACGACGAGCAAATGAAAACAGCAACATACAGGTTTAGTATTTAAAAACCGATGATTGTTTCTAATGGAAAGATTATATCCACATTCTAATTTCATTTGCTTAATAAATGTACTTTAGATGGTACAAAGCAGTTTAAAACCGGTAACTTGTGTCTTACTGCGTACAGAACAGGGTAGAACTGCCCTTGTGGGTTTCTGAGATTAAATCTTTATGGAATAGACAAGCCTCTTCTGCTGCAGAGTAGTTGGTGGGTTTGATCTTCTGACCATGTGGTTAGCAACTTAGTACGCAGCATATTGCCCCACAGTGCTTTAGATTGAATAACCCTTTAATCTTGTGCTCCCCCCACCATTCTAAATGTTTTCTGTAGGTTAAGTTTTTTTTTAATAAGGAAAATATGAGAAAAATTTAAAGAGACAATAAAATCACCAATACACCTTCCACCTAAAAAGAACCACTTTTAAAATCCTGTTCCATCTCGTCCTGGTTGCTAAGCATTATGTTACCATCCTATTTTCGGGAATCCTATTTTCAACTAAAATTCCCATTTACGATTCCCCATATTCTTTTTAAAAACCTGATTTAAAAATCTTTTCTTGGCAGCTTCTATGTACAAATGTATTATAGTGTGACATTGCTGAGAAAAGTGTATTTCCTTTTTCTTCAAAGTGAAAGACTATAGAGAGATGAGCTAGAAGTCACTTGACTAACTCAAGGTAAAACTTAGTAACAGACTTTCAATGATCAAGTTACACAGTTGGGTCAATTTTTTCCACTATTTTCCTGAGTACGTTAAGAAGTGTCCATTATGTTTTCATTCTTCCTACCTTTATTAATACTGTAAAAAGTACCTTTCATGTCTAAAAATAGTAATTTATACAATGGAATATAGTCTTTTTCTCTTCCACACATCTAAAATGCCATGATTTTTTGACACGATGCTGTTCCTTACATTAAGAACTGTGCACACTACTAGAAGCATTACAAAAATTACTTAAATGTAGGAAGAGTTCATTGAAGGAGGAATTGTAGTCTGAATTATATGTTTTAGTCAGAAAGGATTTGGGGAATAGAAAATAACTCAGCGTCATGGCTATGATTTTTGTTTCCCAAATGAATTTACCTATCACAGTCACTGGTCTGGGGCTCCAGCTGGTCAAGAGTTCACTTTCCCAGATGCCACGTTCCCTGCTGTCACTTTGTAGTAGGTTTCCCTACTCTAGATCTCATACCTGTGTACTCTGATACGCATTTGCACACCGTGCTTTGTTTTATTTTTCTAAGTGTAAACCTTTAAACCTAAGGCCCAGGTGAAAAAAAGAATTTACGTGCTTTGCCGTTTACTTGCAATTTCCTACTAGGGCAACCTACTAAAGACAGGCTACTGGCTCTTCTCAGTGGATGCCCGCCTCACCTGCAGTTATTCTGTTCCTGGTCAGGCTGTGATTCCCGATCCCATTGTCTCAACTTTTAGTTAGTGAAACAGGTTAACATTTGTTATGTTTATAAAATAATGGCTATTTAGAATTTTTTTTAATAATTCTTCTTAGGCACTGAATATGAACATTTTGGAAAACAAGTGTGTGCATATGTTTTAAAAGCCCATACACTGACATGCAGAAATACTGTAATTATTTCTTTTAAAAAAAAAATTATTATTTCTCCAAATTTGTGTGGGAATTAAAACAGTCTTTCGCTTTTTTTTAACCTGTTAAATGAAATTAATTCACTACTTTCATCTTGGCCAAGAACAGTTACCCATCTGTATAATGAACTCTGCTATCATTTTAGGTTCTTTCTGAAAGATCTGCTACTGAAGTAGACAACAATTTCAGCAAACCACCTCC